TAGGTGGGTGAACACAGCCCCTAGAACAAGCTAATGATGCCTGGCCGCACGCAGGTGGTCAGGGTGTCAGAGCAACAGGTCTCCCATCTCTGCTAGCAGTGCTGCCAGAGTTCCATGGAGAAAAGGGAGAGAGAAGGTAGGAGCAACCTCAGATGTGGGGCGAACCCCTGCTAAGCTGTATCTCAGACTGGTCTTGCAGGCCCTGTGGGTGGCAGCCTGGAGGCTCCCTGCTGCGAAAATGACTTCTAAATCTGGCTGTGTCTGCCGGCCAGCAGGCCTCCTCACTGAGGCCACAGCTGCCCCCACTCTCAGGGCAGCCTCCCCGGTCAGGAATAGGGGCAGCAGACACAGGAGAATATGGTCAGTTTAGGGTAGTGAGGGACTGTGACAGCCAGGTTCTTCCCAGGGAAGCTCTTTCTGCCCCACTTAATACGGCTACAGAGGAGCCAGGAGTGCCCTGGGACTTCCTGAGATCAGCCACAAATGGGCAAAGCAAGCCAAGAACCAGACCGCAACCCTAGGGCTGCAGAGTGGCATAGTCAGGAGTGGGAATGTGTGTGCGTGAGAAGAAAAGGACCAGGAGAGGATTGGGGAAGGGTGAGAAGTGTGTCTGTGGGGAGCAGCATCATTATGCACCCAGTTCTTCATTTTTTCACTTGCCTGTTAAACACATACGTGAGGGTCAAGTGTGGTGGCACACACCTATAATCCCAGCACTCTGGGAGGCTGAGGCAGGAGGATCACAAGTTTGAGCCCAGCTGGACAACTTAGTGTCGTAATGAAACCCTGTCTCAAAAGAAAAATTAAAAAGGTCTGGGGATATAGCTCAGTGTGAAGGCCCTGCATTCAATATCCAGTACTACAATGGGCAAACAAACAAAAATAAGTGTGGTGGCACACACCTATAATCCCAGCACTCTGGGAGGCTGAGGCAGGAGGATCACAAGTTTGAGCCCAGCTGGACAACTTAGTGTCGTAATGAAACCCTGTCTCAAAAGAAAAATTAAAAAGGTCTGGGGATATAGCTCAGTGTGAAGGCCCTGCATTCAATATCCAGTACTACAATGGGCAAACAAACAAACAAAAATAAAAAAAAAATAGAAAACGTATGCAAGGGTACAGAAGAGACTCCTGTACACTTTCTGTCTTCACCAGTGTGTGTCCAACCTTTGACTTTCCTGGGCCACATTGAGAGAAAAGGAATTGTCTTGGGCCATATAGAAAATATGCAATATAGCAAATGTATATAAGTAACAAATTCCTTTACATTTTTTAATTATAACACTAAAAAAACAAACAAAAGTGGAAAAATGGGAGTGGCCTGCAGGCTGCAGGTTGCACGCACCTGCTGGACATCCAGACTATGCGTGACAGAGGGAAGGAATCTGAGACAGAAAGAGGAACCCACCAGAGATGTCACAGTGCAGGCAGACAGCGCCATGCAACGCCATACGTGTGTTGCTGAGGAGACAGGCGGGTATGAGGGAAGTGGCAGCTCTCACACACTAGGACTCACCGGGCTTAACTTACTTCCAGGCCTCTGGGAGACAAGTTGCTGAGGGTGCCTATGCTAGTGAAGGAAGGCTCAACCTACATGCTGTCCTTGTTTCTGTGTGGCATAGGCTGGGCTCCCTCTCTGGAGACAGCTGATGCTTCATAGCCTTTCGTGAGCCCTTTTTTGGATGGAGATTTCATCCACTTACCCATCCATCCATGCATCCCACCCATTCCCTTACCTATCTATCCACAAACTCATGTATCAGCCATCTGGCCATCCCTCCGTATCAGCCCATCAATGCATGCATTTATTCTACCATTCACCCCTTCATCTATCATCTACCCATCCATCTACTGATTTAATAAGGGTGTATGGACCTGGGTGTGGTGGCCCATACCTGTAATCCCAACACTCTGGGAGGCTGGGGCAGAAAGATCACAAATTTGAGCTCAATTGCAACTTAGCAACCCTGTCTTAAATTTAAAAGTTAAAAAGAAAAAAAGGCTGCAGATGCAGCTTTATGTGAAGACCCTGGGTTTAATCCCCACTTAAAAGAAGGCATACACAGGGAAGGATGGAGAGAGAGAGAGAGAGAGAGAGAGAGAGAGAGAGAGAGAGAGAGAGAACAGAGCCCACATCCTCAGGGAGCTGGAAGCCTTGAAAGGGTGCAGATAACATACCAGATACCAGCCAATGGGACAGCCTCACAGACAAGGTGTTTCAGATGGGCAAGGCTGCTGTGCCAAGGGAAATAAGATTCTTCATGGAAGGCTGAGGACTCAGCTCAGTGGTGCCACCACCTGCCTCGCAAGCTTAAGGACCAGAGTTCGATCCCCGGTCCCCACCACCACCCCCTGGGAAAAAAAAAAAAGAAAAAAAAGAAAAAGAGTCTTCATGGAGGAAGGGACATTCGAGACAAGTTTCAGTAGGAAGATGGAGAAGGGAAGGGGTACATCCTAGTCCCAGGGTATGGGGAAGCACATGACTTTGCCAGGAGAGAGAAGCATTGGGGGAATGTGGGGACGCAGAGGGGTGGGTCCTGGCACATACCTGTAGACCCAACTACTTTGGGATGCTGAGGCAGGAAGATTGGATCACTTGAACGATAGAGTTTTTGTTTTTTTCTGATACCGGGAATCAAACTCAGGACCTTGCGTTTGTGAGGCAGGTGTGGCACGCAGCTAACCCCCCAGCCCATGGTAGTTTTGGAACTAGGAGCATCCTACGGCCTCCTCCACACCAATAGAATTTTTTCCCCAATGCTTGATTATGACCCTTGTTGGGCTTATTACCTTGTGGAATCCTCCTGCTGAATCATGAGCAACTCAAGGGTCAGGCTTTTAAATTTAGCTCTGTATCCCCTAAACGCATGGCATGGAGAGGTGCTCTGAAAATTCTTCAGGGAAGGAACCAATGATAAAAGTGCCACAGGAACAGGAGCAGGATTGTGCAGCGTCACATACATGGGAGGAGAGGAGAGAGGAGGTGAACTTGCCTCTTGCTGGGGTTTCTCCAGGCGCCCTTCCAAGAAGCACCACACAGGGGCGCTGTTCCAACCGCTGTTGTGAATTTGGCCAGGGTCTCTTAGTGTTTCTGTTGGTGCAGTGCCCATCCAACAACTGTCCAGGAATGGTCTAGACATCTCCTTCCAGCAAGTCCTGCGAGAATGAAGAGACTAAGTGCAGCTGTGGAAAAGAAGAGCTGACAGACCAAAACCTCAGTGCAAATACAAACCTCATCCATCTAACCACTCATTAGACAGTGCCTACCAGGTTCCAGGTACAATGTTAGAGTGTTGTAAAAGCAACAGTGACCAAGACACAGTTCCTGCTACCAAAAGCTCACAGTTTAGTCCTGCCCAAATCTTCCCTTCTTATGTGTTCACACACACACACACACAAACACACACACACACACCCCTATTCGGCACAGACTGGTCCCCTGGACCCGGGAAGCCATCTACTGTTCAGCAGTGCTCACACATTCAGCCACGCTTTTCCCTGAGGTTGCTGCATGGCCACATGAATGTTGACCCTTGGGAATGCTGTGACCCTTGAATGCTCCTTTCCTGGATGGTTCCTCTTGTCTTTCCCCTCAGCTCTCTGACACACCCTTTCCTGTTCTTTCTCCCCAGTTTTCCAATCATATACACAGCCACTCACCCAGCCTTGGTAGCTTTAGGGAGCTCCCCAGGGTAGGCCTAGTATAAGCTAGGGCCTCCTCACACCCTAGAGCTCTGAAGGCTATAAGGACATGAGGGTGCATCTGTAAAAGGGTCCAGCCCTGGTGCTACCTACCCAGAATTGAAGATTTGGAGAGTTTAGAAAACTAAAGACTCAGAAACATGCCCCTCTTGTGGCCTGAAGGCTCTGCCAGCCAAACGTGTCCCTGCCTTCCTTTCTCATCTAGTACGGGAGGGCAGAGCCTTTCCCTGGACACAAACCTACGGTGGTAGTGGATGTGAGAGACACTGGTTGGAGGTGGAACATTGTCCACTTTCCCAACATGCTCCAGGGCCCATCTTAGCCCTTGGCGGGTTTGGGAGAGGAAAGGAGGGAGGGTTGGTGCCGAGAGTGGGAGCCAGGCCCATCGAGGTCCTGGTAGAGAATGCCGCATTGTTGGCCAGGCCAGAGTCACAGATAATTACCTCAATTAGTGACAATGGGAGAGTAATAAATACAGGCTTAGTGTCTCCTACCCCACCAGGGCTCCGAAGATTAATCCAGGCTGACGGGCGGGCCCTGAAAGGCGTGATGGACAATTCATTAAACTCCCCAAATGCCGCACAACCTGGGCGTGAAGGCTGAGTTAGCCCCCTGGGGGCTGAGCCTTTGTCCTGATTGTGTGTCTCCGCCACAGCAGAGCCCAGCAGCCCCCAGAGAGCAGGGAGGTGAGTGGGGCTCCCCCAGCCTGGCCAGGCGGCGTGGGGATTAGGCCTTGGTCCGGCCCTGGTTGCCCTGGCACACTGGCCCAGCCTGGCTGGAATGTCCGTGGGGGGGAGCAGGCCGAGCGGAGGGGCGGGGCCGACAAGGTGGGGTAAGGGGGGTACACAAAACCAGGGGCAGGAGGAGTTAATTAGACGCCAGCCGAGGAGGGCGAGGGGCCACAATTGGGCTGTGGGGCCGCCGGGGCGGCCCCTTCACTTCCGAGGATTAATAGGGAGGAGGGAGAGGGAGGGGTTCAGCTCTGGGGGAGCAGAGTGGAAGCTTCACAGGGTGGCACTGCCCCCTCTTGCCCAGCTGGGCACCTACTTGGCAAATGGCTGGGAGGCAGGTGGCTCTGGCAGCCTGGGCAGGTTCCCTCAGGTTGGCTCTTTCTTCGTCCTGTGGCACCTACGTGGGAGGACCAATGGCACTGAGGGAGACAGGACTTATGTGTTGGGGAAATGAAGGAGGCAGGCATGGTTAGGGGCCTGTTCTTAGGCCTCTTTCCCAGCCTGCTCCCCACCGCATAACCCACTGAGGGAGAAACTGAGGGACAGCAAAGCTTCGCTTTTACAAAGCTACCAGGCTGAAGCCAGGACACCCGGGGTGGGGCCTGGGGGGCTGTAGCTGTAGTGATGTGAAATGTACAGGAGCAGATGTGGCTTTCGCTGCTTGTGCTGGTGGACCTGCGTGCGGCCGGCGTTCAGCAAGCCCTCAGTCATTCCTGTCATTCCTGACGGTGAACACCTGTTGAGTGAATACAGCAGCAAGTGAATTTCTATTTTTCTGAGGACAAATACAGTAGATGTGAGGAAGAGAAGTAGCACCGGGCTGCATCTGGACATAAAGTGGCTTTGGGTCCTTTCATGCTGAGCTGCCTGCCAGCTGTGGCCCCAGGAAGATGGGGACACCATCTCTAAGGAAATGAGCAAAGTCCGGGGAAAATGGAGCAGCAGTTGTTCCTTCACCTGGCAAAGGAAAGAAGAAGAAAGAGAAGAAGAAGGAGAGGGAAAGAAAAAAAAAGAAAAAAAAAACCAGTAGCCTGTTGGAAGCCCCACTTCCTCTTGGGCCTCAAAGAGCAGGGCAGCCCTGGCCCCTCCCTAGGAGCCACCCCACCCTGCCCCCTCCCGGGGGAGGACAGGGGAGCGAGTTGGCGGCAGTTCCCCAGGCGTATTTATAACCCGCTGCTCCTCACCAGCGTCTGCTTTTAGCCCAGACGGGGGAGAGGGCAGGGGGGTGGTCTGTCTCACGCCAGGCGCCCCAACTGGGTGTGGAAAAAGTGAGTAAGGGTGAGTGGTGGGCAGCTCTGCATGGATATTCCTGCTCACACCACAGCCAAACAGCTTATTTTCTCCTCATTTTGTTATTTTTCTGCCTCTGGCCTGGAGGGCAGGACTGAGCCAGCCCCAGGGGCTGGGGGAGGGCTCTGGACCCTAGGGTATTTGCAGCCCCACTGACAGGGTTTTTCCAGGGTGCTTGCGGCAGGGTGTGAGCGGTGCTGGCTTCTGACCCCCTGGGGACTGGGTGTCTCAGTCCTGTCAGCTTTTCCACACCCCCTCCCAGGGTATTTCAGGATGAGTCCCTCCCTCACCTACTGAGGGCAGCCTTGTTGGGTCCAGGGTCCCTGCCTCGGAGCCTCCTGGGTGTGTGGCACCTGTATATCGGAGGAGGGCAGGAAGTGGAGCATCGGGCGCATTCCTGACAATGGTGACACTACTAGCCACCACCCTGAGGCACGCTGGGCGCAGAGACTTTGCTGAGACTCTTTCTAGGCACAGTCGCTTTTGTCCCTAGGATCTTCCTGCTCTAGCCCCGTGTGAGAACAGTGCAGATGACTGTGATAACAAAGCAAGCAGGTCCTATACGGTGCATTGCAGACCCTACAGCCTCTTTTACTGTTTTTTCTTGGGGGTCCTGGTGATTGAACCCAGAACCTCATGCTGCTAGGGAAGCTCTCTACCACTGAGCCACATGCCCATCCTTTTTACTTACTTTTCTTTTAGTTTAGTAGTCCATGATCTGTTAAGGTCTAGCCTTATTCTACTCTTTCTTGCATTCCCTGTCTTTGAAGCTCCAGCCCCTGAAAGACAGAAGGCCTCCACACTAAGGTTTGGAGATGGGAGTCGGTCCTTAAATTCATGCAGGTGCAGAGGGCTTTACACTTAACTGAGGCTTCATTGCAGTCCCTCCATTATTCTGATAGTGTTTGCCAATGTGCAGATCCCCTGGCTGGACTGCAAAGGCCTCCAAGCTGGAAATATGGCGTATACCAAATTGTATCAGCACTGGGCATATGCCTGGTGCAAAAGAAGTGCCAATGAGTGTTCAAATTATCCAAATTTCCAGGTACATGGTCTTCTCATCTCCCTGAACAAGAAGCTTGACAATCATTCCAGTTTAATGGCCAGGTCAAGGGAGGCTGAGAGTGCAAGAGACACACTGAATGTCTAGTTAGGGGGGAGAAAAAGATTTGTTGCTTTCCCTTACTCTTAGAGCTCCTATGTGTCTACTTGGCTCAGAGCAGCTGACTTCCCTGTCTGAGAGAGCCAAGAATTGGAGTTAGGGGTTAGGTGAGAGTGGTTAGAGATAGCTGCTGGACCTGGAGCCCCGCCCTTACCCCCTCACCCCTACTCCCCATCCAGCAGTGGCCCACACTCCCTCTCTCACCTCTGCGGGCCCTGTAACTTCTTGAGGGAAGGTATAGGATCTAATAGGTCTTTGGATTATGGACTGGTCATTCATTATGGAATGCTCTTTACTGGAAACCCAAGGCCTTTCAGATGCCTCCTACCAGGATCAATAAAGTTTAATCCCCCCCCCCAGGATGTCCATCAGAGCTTTGATGGTGCTCCTTGGCAGATGAAGAGAGGGAAAGGGATGTCATCCCAGGGTTGAGCAGGTCCTGTCTCCACTCCCCTTCCCCCAAGTATATCTCAAAGGCCAACAGGGTCAGAGTTCATACATCCAGGGAGAAATTGGAGGCTGCAAGCCCAGCAAAGGAGTCCTGGAGAGAGGGGGAAATTCTCAAGTTGACTGTTACTAGCTGTTGCCCTTGAGAAAGTAGACTGCTTCAAAGTTCCTGCTGCCTTTTTGGTGGTAGTGGTGGTACGGTGTCAGGGTTAGGGGCTGACAATAAAGCTTGGGGGTTGTCTGAAGTTAGGTTCCACTAGGCTAGGGTTGACCTAGGGCTGGGGACAGGGAGAAGATTAGAGTCAGAGGTTTAGGGCTACTGGCAAGACGTGCTCTGCTGCTAAGTGGTAAAGGTGCTTACAGACGTACCATAGAGGTGTTAGTCACAGAAGAACCCTCATTCTGGGTCTCTGTGTGAATGATGAGCTTAATAGCTTGGCCAAGGGTTACACCTAAGTTTCCTTTTGGTCACATTGATTTAAGTCCAACCCATGTCTGGCTTCTAAGCTCCTTTCTTCTCTCCCACTATCACCTCTGAGCTTTTGGATTCAAGACTCGAGCCTGAGTCCTATTGAGCCCAAGGTTAAGAGCTGGGGTGTTTTCCAGTCTGTGATGGGAGGAGTGCTTAACTGCCCAATGCCCTGACCCCGATAGGTTTCAGGACTGAGAGCTCTACACTGGGCCAATGGCACCCTCTCTGCTTTTTTTATTCCTACTTTTCAGAACATGGTCAGAGCTATCACTCAATTATAGTTATTTTTGCAACATAGGAAAAGCAGGCTCTGAGTTTGTTTAATCCCCATTTATCAAGTGAAGGCACTTGTCCATATCACATAGCCAGCTGCTGTTAGAATAGGAAGAAGAATCCTGCAGGATCCTTTGGCTCCTGACCAGGGTCTTGTCTCAGAAGACCTGGATCCCCGGTGTCCTCATTAGGCTCATCCAAGGGCCAGGACCTCAGGGCCTGCCTGCAAGGCTGAGAAACCAATTCTCCAACAATGCACCCCAGTTGTTTAAAAGAAGTAAGCACCCAGGCCTGAGAGAGGTATGGGTAGGGGGGATACCACCAACCATGTTGTGCTCTGGATTCAAGGAGAAGCTACCAAGTCAATGATAAAAGTAGAGATTTTATTTTGCAGAGGAAGATACTACAGAGGTGGGGGCGAGGAGCCACTAATAGCTACAGTGGAAGGAAGTATTGATTCCGGTAGGCGAAGGCATCTTTGAGAGATGAGGGACAGGAAAGAAGGTTGGAGAGCAGAATGAGAGAGGAATGACAGGGCTATTGTTGGGGGGTGAAGGTGGTCTTGCAAACCAGGCAGGAGCCCAGCACAATAAATAGTTTTATTTACAACAACCAAACTCGTGGCTTTATATTCACGTTTCAGTGCAAATTATTTACACACTGATGAGAAGGCAGACAGGAAGGGGTAGGAGGTGGTGGAGGGAGGCATGGCTCACAGCTGTTCAATGGCCCCACAACAGAGGGCAGGAGAATGGGGGCTTTTCTTCTGGGTCCCCCAAACTTATTGTCCATGTCATCACAGCTGTCCCTTCCCCCAGAACCTCCTTACAGTTCCAGGTAAGGAGAAGAAAGGCCATGCTGCCCAGGTATTTGTTCAGGGTCTGCACCTTGACTGAGGAATGGGAAGGGGCCTGTAGGGACCTGGAGAATACAGATGACAAAGGGGAAGGAAAGAGGCTGAGAGTTCACTGACGCTGGCGCAGTGGAGCCTGGTACACCACTGGGTCGGGAGCTGACCCCCACAGGAGAGGGCACAAATCCTTCTCTCACTTTGGGCCAAGCAGGGGGTCTCCCTTGGAGAGGGAGGAAAGTAGGTAGGAGCAGGTCCATCAGGATGGCCAGAGGGTCTGTGCTGCCCCCAGATAAGTGGCTTGAGCCGTCCCCAGTTAGGAGGAGGTGGGAGACATGGGAGATGGGGTGGCTCGAGGCTCTGGGGTGGAAAGGTAGAAGGGTCTGGAGTGCCAGCGAGTCTCTCTGGGGC